AGTGAAATTTTGAAAATGATTTTTCAACCGCAGATCAACATAAACAGTAAAGTAAAAAAATAGCAGAAAATAAAAGACATAAAATTTATAGTGGTACGGTCAAACACGACCTACATCCACTCCTTGAAGTCTCCCACTTTAGGTATTGCACTATTACCACTTAGTGTCTCTCCTTTTGCCCCCACAGCAAGGCAGAGAAGCTTTTACAAAAACTCTCTTCCACCACTATCCGGTGCAGAAGAGAACCGTCATCCTTTTACACCCTCCAAGTGTAGGCAGAGAACCTTCCGCTGTTCACACTCTTCAAGTGTAGGCAGAGAACCTTCATCCTTTCACACTTCTCCAAGTGTAGACAGAGAACCCTTCATCCTTTCACACTTCTCCAAGTGTCGATAGAGAACCGGATCTCCTTGAAAAGATCTTCTCACGAGAAATCTAGAAGGACAAGAGAAAAGAGTGAAGTAATCATAATTCACAAATAAAGATCATTACCTTTGAGTATCAAGTGAACCCTTTATACTCCAGTAGTAAAAATTCTTCTTTAAACACTCTCTCACACTCTCTCCTTCAATCTCCCTTAACTTTGTATGAAGATCAGTGGACAAAAAGATGGATGACAGTCTCAAATGGACATTTTATATGAAAAGACAAGAAAAATCATCCAAAAAATGCAATTATTCAAATATGTGCATTATTGATCATCTCGTACGATCCTAGTTCGTACGGATGAACAGTGTAACTACTACTATGTATGAACTAAATGTTAACTGGTATGATTTCCCTTTGTACCCGATCATCGTCCCGTACGAACAATGTTCGTTCGATACGAACGGTTATTTATATAGTTTGTTGTTACAAAAAATAGAACGACTCTTAAGTTTCAAGAACAGAGAATATCATCCTAAGACGAACCATATTAATCGTCTAGACAAATAGATCATTTGACTATTCTAGAGCCCATCGTCCTTGGACGAATCATAATTTTCGTCTAGACGAAATCATCCAGAGAGCATCGTCCTGGGACTTACGCAAAATATCATTTGAACGAACGCGTCCAGAGAGCATCGTCCTGGGACGAAGGTAATTATTGTCTGAATGAAGGAATACAGAGAGCATTATCCTGGGATGTAAGAAAATATCATGCAATCGAATGCGCCCATAGAGCATCGTCCTGAGATGAAGGTAATTATCGTCTGGACGAAGGCATCCATAGAGCATCGTCCTGGGACATAAGCAAATATCGTGCAAACGAACGTGTCCAGAGAGCATCGTCCTGGGATGAAGGTAATTATCGTCTGGACGAATAGTACTTAGAAAAAATTTGACCTCTCCTCGTTCGATTCATTGCTCTTTTTAGGAGTAAAAACTGACTAGATCGTCTCGTACGAACATGATTCATACTGTACGACTAGTTTCAACAATTGTGAATTTTAAAGCTCTCCCCCAGTGCGTGTGCGCTAATTTACTCAATTACAATCACACTCTCTCAGACTTAAAAAAAGAAAAAACACAGACTTCAATTTATAAAATATTCTAAGCTGAACTTGATTTGAAGTCTTCAACAATCTGGAGTATGATTTTCCTGAAATGTTAGTACACACAAGAGCAAAAATAATTCTTCTAAAAATGTGTTAAGAGAATATAATAATAAAAAAATAATATTTTATATCATCAAAATATACAAGTTGCAAGAATGTAAAACATGCAAAACTAAGTAGCAAAATCTCTTCAATAGCATCTAATGCATTCTTGAAGTAAGGGTAAAATATTACATTTGAACGTACATATGGATTACATTATGCATCTCCTTGGGGTAAACTAATAAATTTATCTGCAAAGGATATAATAACACGTAGAACCATATTGAAGTTCCTACTAATTATTTCCAATGAATGCTGGAAGAACTCACACAACTAGCGGTGACTATGAGCATGTGCAACTCCTCATAAAAATATACATACTTGCTCAGCTATGAGCATATTATTTGTGTCACACAAAAATGTCCACGACTTACTAGTAGGTCTGTAAGGCTTACTAAGTCATCTGAAGGTAATCTGAAGCATTGGTACGCTCTACTCGGATGGCTAGCAAGGACATCAAGTACATATCGATGTCCAATATATGTCCTATTAAACATTCACTGCCAAATAGGTTGTTCATCATCCGTGGAAGAATTTTCTTCGAGAATAGATAGAGTGATTTCAACAATAGCATCGTCAACTTGAAGTTGTAAGTCTACCATGTACATAAAACATCAAGAAAAACTCCACGCAATTAATTATATATAACTGCATAATTAAAGATATTTGAATTCATTAATAAAGTAGAGTACAACCAAATGTGTGTGCTAAATTAAATCAAAACAACTTAAATCAAGCAACCAATGACCAAACAACATGAAGCAGACTAGAACCAAACAACATGAAGCAGAAAAAATAAAACCAGCAATATGAAGCAAATAACATAAATCAAACTACTTTAACCAAACTTATACATTTTCTGACAACTCAAAATTAGTTATAGATTGCTAAGCTAGGCAAACTATAACCAAACTTTTGCCACGTAACGTGAATGCGTGCTGACAATATATTATATCCATTCGACAAGAACATCCCCTTCCCAAGTCATGAGTATTATTTTGTTATCCCTATTTTCTTTAAACGCGTCCTAGACAGCTATGACAGCTTGTGTTGTCACGTTCTCTATTTGTCCTAACTTCGCCAAACAATCTGTCATGGTGTAAGGATTACTGCATAGAATTGTTTCTTTGAAGACAATTACATTTTTGTTCGACTCCACTAATAAGTGATTCAAGTTTTGTAAGCCACTCTTTTTCATGGGACATCTTGCAAACTTGGTTGGTTTTTCGCATGATCTTTTTAAACCTAGCATTTAACTTCCGCCTATATCTACATTTGGTGGTGCATCTTCTACAACATCAAGTAGATTGTTTTTGGGAGTTCCTTCCATGTCGTAGCTCACACCATTAGCAGCTAGAAACTCATCTTCCAAGTGCGGGGTTTAATCATCTTCTAAGCTTATCGTGGGTTGTGTGACCTTACTGGACTATGCACCATTTCCTACTGTAATGTTCTCGGCACAAATCTTCTCGAAAATGTCATACTGATTGAAGGGATGTCTTTGAAATCGAGTGAGCTTTGGGTTAACCTACAATTATAAATTTGGTTAAGTTAGGAATATGAAATTTATAATTTATGTGCATTGATAAATACAAAAAACAATACCTGACCAATTTCCTCTCACAACTCATTCTTCGCTACAGGGATCTGTAACTCCTCATCCCAACCCCAACCACTACAATTTGTCAGTTGATAAAGTGTTCTAAAGACATCTTTTATGTTTTTAAATCGTATCGTTACGAAAGATTATGTATAGTTTGAGCCTAGACGCTGATTTAACACAACCACTAAGTCTGCCCATTGTTCCTTCCGCATATTCCAATTACATAAATTCCCATTAACATATTGTTCCAATAGCAACTCCCTTGTATGAAGTTATGATCTTCTGGCCACTTAGGATTTCGAGTTGTGCTTTTGAGTTTGCCAAAATAGAGATGTCATCACCTACACAATGTGGGTTACTAGATCTAGCACGTCCAATATATTTGCCTTTTAGAAATTTTAGCATTTCTGTCAAACATTAATGAGAAATTTATTTCTATGAAGTTAAAATCTGTCCAACCAAGTGCGTTAATTTTTAACTTTCTTTTAAGAACTTTTACCAGTCTTATGTAGGTAGATATTGTTTGATGAGTCATTGTCGCTCACACATGCTACATGCATATCGATGAAGCCTAATATTACAAGAGCATTCATTTATTTGTTCCAAGACATGACATAGGATTAAGAAAACACTCAATTAACCACTCCAAAAAGTCTATCAAATAATTAACCAATGTGGAAGCATTTGAAATCAAGGGATCTAGGAGAAGCTCTCTTGGAGGAAAATCTGTTGAATCATGTGAGTAAAGTACTTGGTTTTTCTGGTTATTCAAAAACAAACAGTAAAACTAACTTTACCACTTAAACATACATCATGATCAAATTTGATGCATCGTGGAAAATGTTTTAGTTGAACCTATTGATGACTAAGAAAATGAGCTTTAGTAACCCTAAACAGCAACTAAATAATTTAAGTTAATTGAAATCTTCAGAAAATTACTTAATTATTGAGAGTTAAGGACACATGATTTTAGACTAATTTCAACTCTAAGCAATGCAAGTTCAACGAAAACTAGAGTGCAGCGTATGTAAATTAATTTTAATCGTATGAAAAGAAAAATTTCGGTGATTAGGGCTACCTATGCGACGTTGAGAGGGATCTGTGAATGCTACCTAAGCAGCTAGGGTAGGGGATGGGGGTGAAGCTGCGCGACTTTAAGAGGGATCCGGCGGGAATGCTACCGAAGCGGGCCGGGCATGAGGGAGAAGCTGTGTCTTCCATCTAGATAAAGGAGTTCACGTGAGCTTCGCGACATGGACACCGCGGGAAGGAACTTCGAGCAACCGTAATTACATTAAATCCGCCGAAGCATGAGATTAGAATTTACCGGAATTTATGCCTTAAATCCCGAATTTACGGATTCGGGGGATTTACAATTGCGCGGAAACATATTTGACTGGATTAACGTTAAATCTTACTCAACAGTCATGCCAAATCCAATACCAAAAACCCCCTTAAGCTAGCCTATTAAAGTCACCAGGACCGTTACTAATATGCCGTGTGGCTAAATAGATGCACAATAATTGCCGTGGATAATTGATCAAAACCACCAAAAAAAATGCATCAGTTTCAATTGCTTTAATCGCTTATCAAAATGCTTTTTCTAAAGAGCAGAACATGACGTGGACAAATCCCGTCCAAGCCTCCAAATCTCGCCCAAGTTTTCGCATCCGGTCGACTCTTCCGGGTTGGAAGTTGGACCGGGCGGCTCAGTTAGACCTTGACCTATCTTCCATCCGACCAAGCCGTATAAAATAATGAAGTTCAAAACCGGAGCCGCCGACCTCTTCTGAGAAGAAGGAAATACTCTTTTTCTGTCTCTCTGGTTTCTACGGTCGCGCGGCAATGGAAAGGGGAGGAGGCCTTCTCCACTTTTCCAGCTCTAGAATTCCGGCGTCGACTCCCGTTCGCTTTTTCATCTCCCGCACCCGATGTTCTCTTCGAAGCGGCGAAAGGTCCGGAAATCCCGAAAAGTCTATGTTCGCCGACCGATTCAGGTTCCATGTTGGCCGTTTTATTTGTAGTTAGCTGGTTCTTGTTAGGGATTATAGCTGGGTTGCAATGGGAGGAGATATGAGTTTGTTGGATTAGAAATGAAGTGTTTGACAACGGGCGTTATGATTTGGATTAAGCCTCTGCTCGCATTTGTAGCATGGGAAAGATTACATGATAATAAAGGGTAGAAATTTCCATTACCTATTTTGATTTTAGGCGTGCAAATCTAAATGTCTTGGGAATTTTTGTGGTCGATTCTAGGAAGAGTGCTTTGGTAATGATTATTTTACTGTAAACGTTAATTTGAAAGGGGAATTTACATACTTGCCACTTTATGAGTACCCTAAACTTAAATATTTTATTTATACCACTTAAACGCAAACATAATATCAGAATTACCACTCGTTCTCTCTTCTTTATTCCTTCCCGGCTAAAATCCTTCTTCCCGTGTGCGTCGGACGAGCGGAACCATGTATAATTTTCACAGGGGGCAAATTTATAAGTAAATGTTGGCATATATGTCAGGGGTTCAAGGGGGCAGCGCTCTCTGGCTGAAGTCGACCTAACAATAACACCTCTATATAATGTGTTTAATTATACTGGGGCAATTGCCTAAAGGCCATAGTGTTTTAAAACTTTTAAGGGGGAATTTGCCTAAATACCCTTGTAATAAAGACTAAAAAATAAATTGAGGGGATAAATTACCTAAAGAATTTTATAATATAAAAAAAATATATTTATTTAGGGGGGGCAATTGCTCCCCCTGGTTTCAAGGGGGTTCCGCCTCTGTTCGAGAGTGTTCTCTCTATTTTGCATCACACAACTTCAGAGATCTGCTCCAGAGGTATGCTTCAGAGATCCGCATGAGATAAAAGTTCAAAGAGAAAAACGAAATAAAAGTACATAACAGAGGTTGATAAGAAAAAAACTGTCTCTGTTCATCACTTATTCTAGTATATAGACTTGATTAAGGTATTTTTAATGATGAATTGTTTTCATGATTAGTGACATTTTCATATATTTGCATTGCTTCTTAGTATTCAATGCCATCACCAAAATGTCACTAACCATGAAAACAATTCATCATTAAAAATATTTGAATCAAGTCCGCCACGATAAACCTCTATATACTGGAAGAAGTGCTGAACAGAGACAAATTTTTTTATCAACCCATGTTATGTACTTTTATTTCTTTTTCTCTTTGAACTTTTATCTCATGCAGATCGCTGAAGCTGTGCGATGCAAAACAGAGAGAGCACTCTCAGAACGGGAAAGAGACGAAAATGTTTGACGCATGCGAGAAGAGGGGTTTCAGCAGGAAAGGAATAACAGAGTGGTAATTCTGATATTATGTTTGTGTTTGAGTGGTATAAATGAAATATTTAAGTTTATGGTGTTAAATATGTAATATGAGTATTATAAAGTGACATTTATGTAAATCCCCCATTATAAAATTATATCATATGTAAAAACTTTACCATAAAATATCTTATTTTAATTATTCTTTGAGAATATCTACATGAATGATCAACACAAGAAATTAGGAATACTATTATTGAATTTTATGATAGTTTAAGTATAAAACAGTAAATGTTTTATCCACAATTGTTGTTTATGGCAAAACAAATGAGGGCTATTTTGTGGAGCAAGAGATTTTGGGCTTTCTTTATGGGTCAATGGCGGACCATGCTTCTAAGGCCTGCAGTATAGCTCCTTAAGTGTTAACAGTGCTATCTACCAAATGCAATGAATTTGGTTCAGTATTATGTTAATTAGAATGTTCAATGTTGATGATAATTTTTTTTATTGACATTTTCTGTTCATCAAAGAGCTTTATATTTAGACGCCAGTAAATTTAGCCAGCACCTAGGTGCCCTTAGAATAGAAGTTAAATGTCTTTCAGGACATTGCTATTTAAAGTTGTCATCATTCCAAACAAATGGCATGTACTAATGACAGAACATAGCATAGCATATTCCAGTTATCACAACAATGAAACAATCTTTTATCTCAAATGATTTTGATATTAGCATATTTGAAAGCTTGCTAAAAAATACTTGTTTTGGAATCTATCTATTTTATTCTATAATAAACATACCTTGCATATGAGTTAACCATTAAAAGTAAATCTAGTGAAATATATTCAAAGATGGAAAGTTACATTGTATGCATTTTTTAATGATTTGAAGGCGAGTGTCTATGGCGTTGCTGCATGAATGTGCTCCTTATTTCTTAATGGTAACCAGAAATTTTTTTTCCCTTTGCAGTATTTAAGAGAAAGGTATTTCTGTTCATGATGAGAACAATACTATGAATTGTTGGCTACTTTAAGGACTCTTTATTGTTTTAATTATTGTTTTAAAACTAGAGTGAAGTTAGAATATTATTTACAGGGGTATCCTTAGGACAGAATAAAGTAAGAAACAGGCAATATCAAGATTATTCAAGTTCAAAATAGGTTTATCATGATATTGTAAATTGTTGATTTTAAAGATGATGGATGGGTCCTGGCATTACGTGTTCTTTCCAATCTCCCCTGATTTTACCAATGTGCTTAAGAGCCTAAGTATTTAATTACCAGAAACTGATGCCTGTTTTGGTAGTTCAGCGGAATATGCAGATTTCTTTGTGACATGTCTTTTTAGTACTTGGTAAAGTAAAGCATTTCGCATATATAGAGTGCATGTGCTTACATAATGTTTAATCTTACTCTTTTGCCTTGTCTGGTTATTGATTAGCATGTTGCATGTGGAGTGAACACATGGTATGACATCACACTAAAAACTTTTAAGTTCTCTAACATGTTCAAGCTAAAAACTCATTCATGTGCTGGAGATACTGTTGATTTTCATTCCTATATCCAATCATTAATCGTATTAATTCAGCTCACATCCCTTGTAACGTTATGCATCTTCATAGAATAACAATAGTTTTGGAATTTTACAATTTGAATTGATTGTATCATAGAACAGGCATGCCTTAAGGGATTCTCTCATTCTGGAAGATCTCTTTCATCTCAAAGATTTTACATATATATTCTCAAAGAATCTTCCTTGTGGTTCAATGCTTATGGTGACTTTCATGAGGTGATTTATGCTAGGAGACTACTGATTTTTTTCTTCTTCCATAGGTCTTTTCCTTGTTGGACAGAGAGTTTTCTCAGCATGTACAAGGTATTGCATAAATCCCAATATGCTGTGAAGGTTTTGAGCTCATGTGAATCACAAGAAGTAGCCATGGATGGCAAGGAGGCTGCCAGGAATAAGTTTCTTATTGATTGCAAAACAGATCAGCAATGTGTTGTTGGTAAGCAGCTTCCGTATCCATCTTTGTACAGTGTGTACCGCGGCTTCCTTTATTTTCCTGCTTGCTTGTTTGCTGTCAGAAATTGGTTCTTGTCATATGTTCTTGGTCCAACTATAATTTTACGAACTAATTATAATTATGTGACAAACATACACCAATAAAGTTTTGACTTGCTCTAGTATGATTTCCCTTACTTTGCTTGTAATATTTGAGACCATACAAAGCTTTTCTTAGTTTGTAGATCATGTGGGTTCTAATACCTCCCACAAAACAAAGGAGAATATCCATGTAGATTTTCTCATCTAGATCACTAAGAGATGCATTGTTAACATCAAATTATTATAAATCCTAGGGAAAATTGGCAACTTGCTACGAAAAGAGTTACAGTATTCATCTCTGCAATTATAGCAATGTCTCTTGGCGATATATTCCTAAGGTTTGAGTTCAGTACTTAGCTAGTAATCTTGCTTTATAGCTTTCAAAGGTCTCATCAGCTTTGTATTTCACTATAAATGCCCATAGCACCATAGTTTTTTCTTTCCTCTAGGAAACTCTATAATCTCCCATATTTTTTTCCTTCTCCAAAGCTCTCATCTCCACTCTCATGGCGTCCTTCCATTCCTCAATAGACATTGCCTCATATATTATTGTAGGAAATGAAGTGGTATTTTGGTTCACAAAGAAAACTTTGCAGGATGATGATAACTTCTCAAATGACATAATGTGAGATAGAGAATATCTTGGGTGTTTGGTACAGTTGCTTGTGTTTTTTCCAAATGATAATTGATAAGTCAAGATCCTTGCTTTTATCTTCAATTTTTTTTGGAGCTAGCTCTAAAACTGCAATTATCTCAATTTAAAGGATTTGGAGAAGATTCTCAATCTTGTATTAGCTTTGGAGTTGGAAGGAATTATTATTATCTCTAAGCGGCATGATTTGGGATTTTTTAGTTATGAGCAGTGTAAGGAAGTACTTCAGTTTTATCTTGAGGAGCTGTGAGAATAGTGTTATCAGGAGTTGATAAAAATGTGGATGAGAAAGGTAGATCTAGTGATAAGAGGTTTTTATCTTCTATAGTATAGCTCTTTTCCAAAAGATAAGGTTGAGCAACAAAAGTTTCTCTTCAAAGGTGAAATCAATAAAAACAAATAATTTTATGATGGGTGAATGATAGCACTCATTGTCTAAATTACGGAATATGAGGCTCGCTTTGAGGCTCGCCTTAACACAATTCTAGTGAAAAATGCCTCGAGGTTTATGCCTCTTGCCTTGGGGCACGCCTCACCTTGCTAGCGTGAGGCTTATGGCTTACCCTATTTGTATATTTTTTTGTTAAAACTTAACATAAATCACTTTTTCATGCACATTCAAGCGCAACAACTTCATCTCAATTGCCTCTATCTGCATCCTGCGGCCTTCATCGTAACATAAAATGGTAAAGTGATAAAGTAGATAAAATAAAGCATTCAAATGACTAAACTAAAAGACAGGGTAAGATATTGGGAATATTGGCTTTAATGTGAGTGGAGATCAGAAAATGCGATATTGCCTTGCTAGAGAAGGATTTTGTCTTGTAGTGGGTTGGTAGACTATTATATGTCTGAAATAAAGGAGAAGTGGACTATAGGTTTAATATATATATATAAAGCTGGAATAACTTTGGTTGCACATAATGACAAAAAGGAATTGCTACAGGACCTTCACGTGAATAGCTCTGAAAAATGGCAGCTTTTACATGTTATTAGGGAGGTGGTAGGAAAGGATTTATATGAGTTTGAACTGCTACCCATTCAAATAAATAGCCATAGTGTTTTGCAAGGCTCAAGTAGGAAAGAGGTGTAGAGTTCGGCTTACTGTTTGTTGGTGTGAGGAGATGTTTGGTGGTGGGAATTTAGCCTTCTGAGTGTGGAGAATCGGGCAAGGCAGCAACTGAAGTTGGACGTTGAATGTGAAGGTTGCTTGGTGACGGGAAAAGTGAGGTTTGAGAGGGAAATGGGAAGGTTGAGGTCGGCTTGCTGTGGGAGACGTATAGGGTCCGAATGAAGCAAGAATTGTATTGGGAAATCGAGAGGGGCTACATGAGTGGAATTTTGGCTAGACAGACATAACAGAGAGGTCGGCTTTTAGTTCTTAAGTGCAGAAGAAGAAAACACCGCATCTCGGCTTTGTTTTTTTTAAAGATGGAGCAAAGTCCACAAGCCGAGTTTGACGTTATCTTTGTTGAATTTACAGGATTTAGACGCAGGTTCAACGAATTTTAAGGGATTTTCACAATGATTCTTGAGGAAGAGATCGATTGATACGAGGTAATCATATTTAATGCGATTTGATAATTTATTTTGACTTTTGATTTTTTTTAGTAAATTAATAATAACATTTAATGGTTAAATATTACTCTCAAACCTCACTTTTCTCATCACCAAACAACCTTCACATTCAACATCCAATTTCAGCTGCTACCTTGCCTGATCCTCCCCACACTTAGACGCCTAAATTCCCACCTCCAAACAGCTCCTCACGCCAACAAACAATAAGCCGAACTCCACGCCTCTTTCCTACTTGAGCCTTGCAAAACATTGCTTTAGAATGATTTGTTGGCTATTTACTTGAACGGGTAGCAGTTCAAACTCATATAAATCCTTTCCTACCACCTCCTAATGACATGTGAAAGCTGTCATTTTCTTGAGCTGTTCACGTGAAGGTCTTATAGCAATTTCCTTTTGTCATTGTGTGCAATCAAAGTTATTCCAACTTTATATATATATATATATATATATATATATAT